CTTAGTAGCACAACGTAGTCTGCAGACTCTAGATCAGACAGTCTGCCACCTCGAAGTAAATCTATGCCGCTAGCCTCGCACGAGGATATGGCTGTTTCAAGAATTGAATCTATCACGAAGTAAATGGAAACGGAGAGGGTGGGCAACCCTGTCAAACACCACTTTCCGTGATGAGCTCGGGAGAAAAAGTGCCGTAAGCTGGGACTCGGCTTCGGCTATTAGTATAAAGCGATCGTAATATTGCGATTAACTTCTCGGGTACTCTCTTTCAGGGAAAGGCAGCCAGAGTTTAGAGCGGTCGACTGAGTCGAAAGCCGCTTTCAGATCTAGGAAGACAGAGATGGTGGCTCGACTGAGTCGAAAGCCGCTTTCAGATCTAGGAAGACAGAGATGGTGGATCTACGAAAAAAATGCCGGTGCTCCAGAATTTGGCGCAGCGTGAAGATGTGTTCAATACAGCCTCGACCGGGTCTAAAACCAGCCTGGTTCTCACGCGTGCGGCAGACAGTCGGCGGAGTATGATGTTGACGAAAACTTTAGAGACGATGTTAATTAAACTACTTCCTCTATGATTTTCACAAGAGGATCTATCACCTTTCTTGTAAATCGGTATGATCACCGACTCACAACATTCAGCTGGAACCTCCTCTTTTTCCCATATTGAGCCCAGGAATTTTGTCAACTCCAAGACTAACGCTGAGCCTCCATCCTTAAACGCTGATAGGATCAGCCCATCTGGGCCAGACGCCTTATGCCTTTTGAGATAACTTATTTCCCGAGATGTCTCCATTTCAGATGAAGGACTAGCACCAATTGGGAGTATTTGTCCAGTCGAGGCGGAGAATGAAAGATAAGGTGTCGATTGGGGCCAGTTGAATTGAGCCTTGAAATGTTCAGCCCAACGGTCAAGACGGCGTTGCTGATCGTGAATCAGTGTGCCATCGGATTGTTTAATTACCTCACTTACGCCTATTTTCCTAGGACCCGTATTCCTAATTAGATGGAAAAGGTTACGACCATTACCAATAGCCGCAGCCTTCACCATCTCTGTACACGTTTCTACCGACCACTTCTCGTGGTCACTCCTCGGACTCCTGATGAGCTGGCGTACATTTGAGAAGACCAAGGATTAACGGGAAATGTAATCAGAGCGATATGTTGAAGAGGCCTTCCTGGCTATTCCGGATTTAATTGATTTTGTTCATGAAAGGAAAATGCTGAAAAATTTAGGTGCCGACTGAAGCAGCGAACTGAATCCCCACAATTCCGTATAGTTGTTCGGTGAGACAACAGAAATATCCATTCAGAACTCTACTTCTTCAGAAAACCATTTTAAAGTTACCGACTTACTCATACACTTAGAATGAAGATGCTTGTGGATGCTTGTGGATTAGATTGACAGGAAGTGGTCTATCATCACACACAGAACTCTATGCTGTCAAATCAGCACGAACAGTGAGACCGATGCAGTTGAAATATTGGCAATCTGAAGAACGAATGTAATGTATCGGAATCATTTTTTTCAGTCCATTCCCTAGTGGTTTGTTTCCATTGTTTGCTGATATGACAAATCGAGAGCCGCTTGTTTTGTGAATAGCCCAGAGATACTGAATCGCTGATTTTCCAATTACACAGTACCCGTCATTAAGCTGTATTACACGAGGAAAGAAGAGGGCTTTCAACTCAAAAATTATCCCAAAAAACATCGATACGTGTAAATCAGTTTTGGTTCGTACAACTATTAACCGGGCATTATCGTTGCTGTCTTTTCGCTACCCATTTGGTCGACCCTTGAGGAACGAAGAAACCAGAGTTCAGAGCTAAGAGCACTGCGAAATTCGAAATACAGAAAACAAATGAACTAGATCTGGGTAGAACGT